TTTTTGATGAAATAAATTTGAAAACCGGACAAGCCAACAACCAAAGCTTTTCTTACTGTAGACCTGCGGTCACCTGTCTTTTGTGAGTCTCCTTCACAAAGCCTCTGAGAGGCTGGTAAGAAGCCTTGGGATGGGCAGTCAATGCATCTGTTCTGAAAGATCTTTTGTTTGGTTGTTTAAGTATATATTACAAAATTGCTATCATTTGGTTGCTTTTAACCAACAAAACCATCGATTTCACATAATTCAGAATGATATTATCCTGCTATGACCATGGAGTAAGAGTCTCCTTGGCCGGATTCTCAGAAAAAAACAGTTCACGTTCCGGAGCTTTCTGCTGAGATGACAACGATAACCTAACGTTTGCAACGCTGCACAACATTAAGAACACAGGACAAAACAAAGAAAGGCTGAAAAAAAGAAAGAGGGTAGAGAAGTATGGCAGGCATTTAATTAATACACATATAATATTTTTTAGATTTTGTGATGTTTGTGATTATTCAGCTTTTAAAATTGTTATATTCACTAAGTAAACATCCATGTCTATATCTTTTAAAAAGCTCCAACTAAATAAATGTGAACTGTGGGTATTACATATGACAGAAAGTGGAATCACTGATAACTATTAACTGTAGATACATAAAATGCTATAAATAATCCCCCAATTTCACTATCAGACTAAAACATAGCAAAGTTACTATTTTCTTTAATTAAAAATTTTTAAATGAGAAGAAACAGCTTCCATAGCTCTTTCAATTAACAAAAAATAAGACAATTTAATAGCTTTTCAGTGTCAAATTAACTTCTTTTTTATGGCTGGGGACAGGGATGGTGATATCTTTATCATGCCCAAGTAAACTTCAATGAATAAAACTCCCCAAAATAAAACTTAGCATTTGAAAATAAAAGCAGTAAAGTTGTTTGAAGTTAGTGTTAAATGTACGTCAAATGGAGTAGTTTAGAGGTGAAGTTAAAAAAGACAAAGAATTCAGATTTACTCTGATAACTCACAGCTAAGGTAGAAATAGCACCGATTACAAGAGAACTTCCAGAATAAGATTTTCACAGAGTTATTTTTATAATTTTCAAAATAATTTTAAGTTCACATAAAATAAAATGTTATTTTCAAGTACACAGTCACCTCAACATAAAGAACTACTATGTTATTCTTGTCTCAGAAATACAGAATTATTTCATATTAAATGTTTCTGCTGACAAGAGTAGTTTGGGGGAAAATTATCTGAGGCGGGAATAAAGGAGTGAAGGAAGACATTTATAAATTTCCCTTTCAAAACTGGGGAAGGGAGAAGTAGAGAAAGAGAAAAACTAGATGGTTAACATAAATTAAATCACTCTAGGATTATCTGCTTTATCTTATAGAATATCCCCTTATCAAACCCCAGAAAATAGTCAAAGAAATGGTTGGACATCAGGTTCAATTTTAACAAATGTAGTAAAACATGCAGAGCCAGAATATTGAAAATAAAAATTATTTTTAACAGGCAATCAAAATAAGACTGTAATACAGGCATGTCTGAATGAGAGGAGTGGGCATCTACTTGAACTTCTGGAAGCCGGGAAAGCTGCCTGACTCTGTGAACCACCCAAAGAGAATGAATCAAGCATAACCCCAGAATCCACACCAGAAACCAGGTCACCTCCCTGCACCAACCTTCCATGCTTCTTCTCTACCCATCGGACAACAGACCCAATAACCAGATTGCAAATCGATAGACCGAACTGTCCAACAGATTGATGAACTAATGCAGACAATTAGAGCAAAGACAATGATCTTTAAAAGTAACAGAAACCTCCTTGGCCTGGTTCTCAAAAAACACAAATCTAAAAGAGAATTCTGCTGAGATGAACTAATGGAATCGCTATCACTACGTTTTATCACATAGATAATGAGGCTTTATGGAAACATCTTCTGCACAGCCAGAAAAAATTTTAAAAATAACAAGCCACATTTATCTCTAATATTTTAAAGCATGATATACACCTTTATGGCAATCTGGCAACCGTATTTATTTACTGACTCTAACACAGCTTAAGAATAATTATTGAACAGGAAAGCTTTAATCCACTCCCCTGAAATTTCTATTTTATAATTATCTTAATGTTGGTAAATGTGATAGCTTTTTTAATTGGCTGTGTGGGCCAGTGGTATCACTGCTTTGATCACTAATTTTATCTTGAATGCAGTTTATTGAAAGTTTAGGCTGACTAACTATATTCATATTTAAAAGAACAAAGACCATAATATGTCACTCTTTTATATACAAAGATGCTTATATTGGTGCTTTAGGAGACTTTTACATAAAAAACGTCACACAACCATTCTTTTACTTTTATTACCTGTAATATAATTTTCCTCCCTTTAGATTACTTAAAATCATGAATGGAAAACAAAGTTAATTAACATATCTGAGTCCTACCAATTTAAGGGTAAATTGTATTAACAGCACAGGTTTATCTAGTAAATATAGTCTTGGAAAGAATAACAAGAATAAAAGCCCAGAATGATGATTATAAAATGGTCAAGTGACAAGGGAAATTTGAGACCAGCTAATCTAATGCTCTCGTTTCTTTCATTTACAGATGAGAAAACCAAGGTTTCAAGAGGTAAAACTCCAGTTAAATAGTTCTTTGAAAAGAGAGGCAACAATAGAAATCAGATCTACTGGCTCAAAATCCTGTGGTATTTAAAAATAACATAATGGATTTTTACTAAGCATTAAAATAAAAACCTGCTAATTTAGAAAACAGCTCCAAGGTTTTGTTTTTAAGCCAGTAAGTACAATATAAGAAAATGTTTGCAAATTAGCAATATAAACAAGCTGACTTATATAACTAAACCCCCAGGGTAATAATAATAATAATAATAATAATAATAATAATGTAGTTCACCTACTTCAGGAAATATCAGTCTTACAAATACTAATATTACTAGTGAATGGTAATTACCAAAATAATGAAATGCAATCTTCAAAATCTGAATTACAAGGTAAAAGAACTATCAGGTTAAACTGGTGACATGACCAATAAAATGGGAATAAATTACGAGCAGTGTTATCACACCAATGAAAATGTCTAAAGAAGGATACAATAGATATCCTGAGAATAGGTAATTCTTTAAAAAATAGGAAGAAAGCTATCCTTTAATGCATTTAAAGAGATTGAATTACTCTCAACTGGTATGGCATCTGACTAAAATATATGTGAACTTTCTTTTACCTTTACAGCAACAAAATTTTACTATTTAGAGACCACAAAATAAGAAATATGCTCATTAACTAAGTATACTGCATCTTTATGGATCAACCAAAACAATGTCTACATTATGTAATGTCTACAAAGATGTCTGCAAAGTACGGCTGGGCAGACCTGAACATTCTGTCCTAGATTTTGGATCCTGTGAGAAAATTATAATCCTATATCAATTTGGCTATTAAAGAAATCTAGGCTTAAAACGAAATTAGGAAAAAAGTTCGGGAGACTGATTACAGTCAGATGGAAGGTTAAGAATACTTGTTCTTCCTGTTCCTTTCCCAAAACTCATGTAACTGGAAGAAAAGAGAAGGGAAAAGAATTGCCAAGAGATGTCAAAAATCATTTTTTGTATAAAGTAAAAACGATGTAAGAATAATGTGTAAAATTACACAACTACTAAGAATCACAGCTGAATTAAATGTAAACACACTTTCTTATTTTAATCAGTTGTAAAAAGGGATAAAAGAAGTTTAAAAGAATTGTGAGTTCTTTTGTAAATTCTGGTTCTATTAAGATGTTATTTTTTGTGTGTTTATATGTGGGGGAAAAAATGGAGAAATCCTTACCTTTTATGCAGATTTAAAAAATTATATATACAAATACACAAACAAGATAATGTTATAACTTAAAATGTAAAGTTTTGCAGTGGTAAAAAACAATGTTACAATAATCACCTTTTAAAAAGTTGTTATTAGTCAGAAAAAATTAGGTATATGAAAGTCCTTAAAGAAAAAAAATGATAAGGCCTACACTCCTTTTTGTATTTTTCTTACAAATTTCAGTGAAGTCAAAGTATTTCATGTAATTCCGTGTCAAAAATAACATACACTGAAAATCCCCAATTTCTGTTGAAAGTGACCTGCGCATTCATCATATAAAATCTGAAAGCAGACTGTGCTGTGACATTTATTAAAGAGCCAACACAACCTAAGGGAACTGCTACTCTTCAAAAAACAACCCTCGTTTTTAAAAGGGTAACTGGGTTGCTGATTGAAAGATGGTGACAAATGAATACTGGTCTTCGCTGCCCATCCTGTACCCACAGCCGTGTGTTCTACAACCCCTAAAGTTCTAACAGAAATGTAAGTAGAGAAACTTACAGATTACACAGCAGTAAAATACATGCTCTCTCATTTGCTCCTCACAACATCCTGTGAGGTGACTTGGGACCAAAAATTGTCTAATCCTCATTTTACACTGAAGAAATTGAGACTAAGAGAAGTTAAATGACCTGTCCAGCTCACATCATAATTACAGGTCTTTGAGTTCCAAGCCCAGTGGAATTTTCATTACTATATATTATCCAAGAATGATAATATAGAAATGTACTTTTGGCATGTCTAAAGCAGTATAAATATCACCAGAGTGAAATTTTCATATGTTAATTTTTTCTAAGCTTCAGCCAATGAGCCTCTACCGTAACAAAAAAATTTAAGTAGTTCATTTTATTTCACAGGGCTATAGCTTAAACTAAGATAGTTACAATTTCAGTTATTTCCAGCTATTATCACAAAGAAAAGAATGAGGTAAGTTATAATGTTGAAAAGATTTTCTACTTTGAAGAGATGCTTTGAATTTTTATAAATCTGCTCTAAGAAGCATCAGGAAAAGAAAATCATTACTAATGTTTGCTTAAATATTTATTCATCCAAATAATACACAAAGATCTAACTTTACATAAACCAAAAAGAGCATAAATAATTCTAAGAATAGCTTTCACCTTTAAAAATTAATATAAAGTATTGGTACAAGTTTGTGTGTGTGTGTATATATATATAGATATACTTCTTTAATTTAAATAGTAATATGGACCATTACTATAGAAGAAATAAGCTTCATTTGGTACAATTTGCTTATTTTGTGTTACTTGCTGCACGTTATTTTTGTAAAGCAGACTTCATTTCCCTTAGTTTAAATTCAGATCCTTCAAATTTCACTGAGACTCCCACTACTAGAATAAAAGTGAGTTGCATGACATGAGTTCTTCATTCATTTCTTTGTTGAAAAATTTATGATATACTAAGCCCCATGCTAATTGTTATTAATTTTTCTTTGAAATTAATTACTATTTTGAGTTAAATATTGTCTTGAATTTTTTAATTATTAAATAAACTAACTACAATATGGTGAAATCAAAGTACTTTCTGAAAACCTTCTGACTATGTATTAACACTTTAGAGAGCACTATCGTCCTCCTCTCAGTGTGAACTGAACAAATGAAACACTGAACATTATCATATGCCAATCATCACACAAATTAAAGTTAAACATATGGTAAGAAAGCTGTCCAGACTTGCTCAAATTGGTTTAAGCTAGCTGAAACTTGAAAATGCTGTTTTGCTACATGGAGTTGTTCAACTGTTTCTTAAAAAAGTTTAATTTGGAGCACTAGTTTGATGAATAACATGGCCCAAACAAAATACTATTGTTCAAAACACTAAATTAACAATATTAAATAAATTTTGTGGAGCAAAAGTAAGATACTGAAAGTAACTGAAATCTCAATATAGCATTTGCATATATATATAACAGTTAATTTAAGAGAGAAGATGCAGAAGAATACATAAAATCAGGAAGCACAAAGTTCAGATATTCACAGTGATGTTCACTTAACTGTCTATACTTGGCCATTTGTACGAGAAAACCAATTAACATTTTGGCAATTGATAATACAATGCAGATGGTGATGCCTGACAGTATCTTTGAGCTCAAACTGGTACCTTCTATTTTAACTTCTTATTTTTGTTTCTGAATGTTTGTGTTGGTCCTCTCATGCTGTTCTCAGGCGAGACTCTCAGACAAAAGCCTCATGAATTATTAATTTACTTATAAATGAATTATTATAAATTTGGCCTTCAGAGAACATCTTTATTAAATGTCAGTTCTGAGGGAATTCACACCCCATCTTAAGCACTAACCCCAGTTCTAAGGAGAAAGATAATCCAGACAGAGGAAAAAGAAAAAACATTTTGGGCCAAATGTTCAAATATATCTTATGAGGAATTAATAATAAAAATATTAATATATATTTACTTTGAAAGAAACAACATGATAGACAAATTATTATTATCAGAAAACAGATTTTTATGCCTGATAAAAACCTTCTTTTCCAACATTTAGTTTTTTGGTACTTTTTGTTTAAAAGAAAAGTGGACAAAAGTACACACACGAAGTAAGCACACGTCAAGTGATGCAGCCCTCTCGCATCAATCTCTTCAATCCTCAGTGATCTGATCCCTTATATTTTACAGTTTACAGTTTTCGAAGAGCTTTCACATGTTTTTTTATTTGATCCCTATTTGACAACTTTTGAGGTAGGTATTTATCTTCTATCTCCATTTACAAATAAGGGAACTGGAGCTCTGAGAAGTTGCCTTTTTAAAGGTCAAAAGCCAGCATGTGATAAAGCCAGGCCTCTCTGGAGTCTAGAATATTTGTTAAGGTGTCATTCTTAGATTACCTGCACATGAACCACCTGTGGTATTCTTATAACCAGATTTTAAAGTCTTACCACCTTTGAGTTACTGAATAAGAATCTTTAGAAGTGGGGTCAGCATTATACATTTTATAATGGACAAATAAAAGGAAGAACAACTGTCCATCAGGTAATAATGTAAAAGCATAACACTGAGTCCAGCTAGAGTTTCACATGTAAATATGATGCCATCAGGTCAGCAGGGGCAAGTTAAACAGCCTGCAGCCTGGCTACAGATTAGAATGACTTTGAAAACTTTTAAAAAAAACTGTCAATTCCCACCTGAATGAGAGGGAGGCCTGGGCATCAGAGGTTCCCCAAGTGATTCTTGTCTGCAGTCAGGGGTGAGGACATGCCTGCTGGAAATGTTTTTCTACATAACACACCAACCATTTTCCAGAATTCTCTCTCTTCTGATCATTTTCATGCCTAATAAAGTTCACAGTTTTTACTGTAGATTATTTAAACATTACAAGGTAAAATGTCAAACACTTTTGAGTTGATATTTTTAAGATTAAAGATACTTCACAGCAAGACTAATCATGCTTCATTTTGCTACAGTGATTTTCAGATACCCCAACTAAATCACCACTTTGAACTTAGGTTATCCATATTTCAGCTGAGAACAAGAATGATCCAGAATCTGAAAATAAGGATAGGGGGCAAAAGCTGTAGCCTATTTGCTACTGAGCAATGCAAGTACAGATAATCAACTCACTGATAGGAGGGACCTGGATGACAAGACTTGGTGGCTTTGGCAAGATCACATGTCACTGTAGAAAAATACAACAATAAATACAGAGAAAACATTTTGCCATTTTGTAATTGTGGTTACGACCAAAACAAAACCCCTTATAATGCTTATTACATGCCTCCACGGAACAGATCTGAACATAAAGTTCTCTATGAATCAATACTATTACATGGGAAAGATGACTATAAATTATTTTCTATCATGCACATGGATAAGTTATACAAACATGGCCAGTAAAAGTAATATTTACAAAATTAATAAAAACAGCTCAATTATAGGGAAAATGCCCATTGCTACTCCTAGTCCTGTATCTTTCTGGATGAAATTTATTTTGATAGAATTTTGAAAGAGCCTTCAAGAGACTAATCAGATTCTTCTGTTGACCTTATATGCTATTAGCTAAAATACCCTTGCTGATCTATCAAATTCTCTTATAGCTTAAAAACACAGTTCTTTTTCACTTAGTGGAAATACAACTACACAAGTCCTACCATTCATCTGAGAAATAAACTTTGCATAGTAAATTCTTTAATTCTGAAATTTTCTTTTCTTAGTAGAATGACCAGAATGTTACCTCACAACTAGTTGGTATTATATGAAACTTCACTACAAAGCAGCCACCACACATTTAGGATTTTTTGAAATACAAAATAGTGGGTTTATAAAAATGCTTACAAGACAAGTAATTATCTCTTCATAACCTAGAAATAAGAATTATTTATTTCACAATATAATTCTTAGCATTTTGGACACCTTGACGTTCCAAGTTTGATGCAATATAAAAAGCAAAAGTTTACTTTTCCAATGGACACAATCTGCACCTGACTGAACGCATGATAACAGTGAGTTACAGCAATCAGTCATGCAAAGGCAAAGAATAAAATCTGCTTTTTAAATGGCACACATTTTCCACCTTAGGATGATTTAAGCACTGGTTCCATCTTCTTCAATAACTCGATTCATGCTGGTCCCATGTGTGATGTGAGTCATAGGGTTACTACTGAGATCCCGGATGCTGCTGTGTCGTGACTGTTCATTGAGCCGATGAGAACTACTGTGCCTGGAGTGGTCCGTTAGCCGTGACATGCTGCCGTGAGGTAGTCTCTCCTCCATCCCTCTGTAGCTGCAGGGAGTGTACCTAACATAGGAGAGTTTATTTTGAAGCAGGTAACAGAACACACTAGAAAAATAACACTAAAATTTTTCGTGAAAATGCTGCATTATGCAAAATAACTAGGAAACCGACAGGTGAAAAGGTAACAACCTTTGATGATTTACAGTAATTTCATTTATATTGTAGAATTTATTTATAAGGCTACCTAAAAAAATGGAGAAAATCTTCTCATTAGATTCAGAATTAAGGTCCTATTCTTTGCAAAAGGACAGGTGCTAACATTAATTTTTCATTCAAATAAGTTTTGGGTTCTGGAATGGGTTCTGGAATGGGTTCAGGGAGAGGAGGAACAATGACAGAGGAAGTATGGTATTGACCTGGAGAATCTAGAAAATTGGTTATAATCAAAAGTACAGCAACTCAGATTTTACTAAAAGACTGGGAATAGAGAGCATATGAAATAAGAGGATAAATTAATTAATGTAACCCTCCCAAAAAAGATGAATGAATTGGCAAGCAACGTATGACAGTATGTGCCAACAGCTTCTTTCTGGAAAGCCCAGTTAACAGTTGGGTTAATTACTATAAATAGTCTTAATTACTTTTCCTCAGGCTCTGAGGATGCTACACTATTTCACAAAAGGCACATCTACTTAAACATACGTAACAACATCCCAACACACTGTAACTTCCACTCCTACTAAAACAAATTCTCAAAACCCCTCACCCAAGACGTAGCTTTTGCATATGCCAGCGGGGCTGCATTGCTCATTGCTGGCAGTAGTCTTCCCATCACCGAACGCATCTTGAAGGGCAGCAGTGGGAGGCGTTAAAATTTCCTTTGTTGCAATCCTGACTCACTGAGCCCCACCAGAGACAGGACGCTCACCCATACACCTTTTTGCAAAAAGTATTTCATTTAGGATAACAATCCTCAAAGAAAACAATAAAATTTATAACATGAATTCATCTACCAAATTTTAAGTAATATTTCTAAAAACACAAAGAACATAGCAGGCCATTACTTTTTAAAAATAATCATCAGAAGAACTACTCATAAGCAGCTGAAGATCTATGGGCTGCCAAAACATTCATTTATCATTCCTTCATAATTACAAGAAATTTTGTGACTCAGTAGGAATCATTTATAAAGTTTAAAGATTTTAAAGACTCATACATACTGAGGAGAACTAGTTTACAGCAGTGCTTGTTAAATGTTTTCATTCGATCACAGATTTTAAAAACTGGGAAGGACTGAGAAAAACTTAGAAGTCCTTTCAAATTATAAAAGAAAGCATGTCCTTTGTTTCCAGTTTTAAATCTGATTTGCATGTTTTGGTAAAATAATTACAATGCTAAATGAAAATGTTATTTTCAAATAAATATGGTGAATAAAAAAACAGAATCTGAGGCAACTCTAGAAATGATATGAAAGTAATAAAAAATAAACAAATTACTATTTAAAAATATGAACTGGATATTTTCTAAAGTGAAACCTAAGTCTTTAAGTTACAGTTATGACTAAAGAATACATTTCTCTGCCCTGGCTGGTGTAGCTCAGTGGATTGAGCCCAGGCCTGCGAACCAAAAGATAGCGGTTTGATTCCCAGTCAGGGCACATGCCTGGGTTGCAGGCCAGTTCCTAGCAGGGGCCAGTTCCCAGCAGGGGACACACGAGAAGCAACCATACATTGATATTTCTCTTCCTCTCTCCTTCCCTTCCCTTCTAAAGATAAATAAATAAATTTTTTAAAAAAGAATACATTTCTCATAGAAAAATTACTATATTGAGTTATGTCTAATTATTTAAGTGAAGTATAGGACTATCCACAAAATTCTAGAATATAAACAACATGCCCACGGACAATTAGGCATCAACTACATAGAAAAATAAATTTAATTATAGTATTTAATCTCAATTATATATGTGGGAATTACCAAGTTTACTTATCTTTTGACAATCATTTAAACCACTGTGATCATCTAACATACAATATGAATATGTACATTAATCTTAACATAAGCTTAGGCAAAGCAATTAGGATGGTTAATTTGCTGAAAAGATAATATGGTCTATTCCAAAGTTAAAATGAAAGAAATTTGCCGACGACTTCCTCTTTTTGATTCTCTACACTACTTGCTACCATTAACATATATAACAATTAAGTCACTGTAATCTCCCTATTATCTCATTGTGCATTCCCTGGCTTTCCCTTGTCGTCACCTACATTTACTGTCCTAATGAGTGAATGACCCACTCCCAAACCTCTGCCTGCCTACTCACCCACCTGCTTTTCCATGCTTCTCCTCTATCAATTACTTACTCTTTGAAGTTGACACACATGTAAGAGTTTTTACCTACATGTATTTTATGTAGCACTGAGATCAATAATTGTCCAAGGAGTCTGGCCTAGAGTGAGGAGGGGTGTGTGTGTGTGATAGCTCACAACCAAGAAACCCTGAGATGATGAGAAAAAGATGGCTGAAAGACAGTGTTAACAAGTAAACTTAAAGACTGATGCAAAAAGAAATCTCCATGAGATGGCTTTTGGAATAATGAAAACCCTCATTCAGAGTTTTAGGTTCAAGGTGGTCTTGGAATTCGTCAGTCTGCTCTGAGGTTCCGGGCATGGTAGGGAGTCTCACAGTGGAGTGTGTGTGCCACCTCGCAGAACACTCTTCCTGGGCTGCCATCACAATTCCGGGCCCCACATTTCTGGGAAATGCTCACAGTATTTCTAAAATCATTAGTTAGACAATATATTTGCATATATACACACACCCACACGTGTATACACACATGCCTGCGCACACATACCTAGTACTGTGCTAGACACTGGGAGAAACTCAGACATGGCTGTCATTTAGTTCTCATTCTCCAGAAGCTGCAAACTCAGCTGAGGAAAGACAACTGTATTGAAAATAGGGCACACCAACACTGAGGGCTGATTGCAGTCACACATTAGCACGCAGATAAACCAGTGAAGGAGCTAGCAGTGAGACGGACTGCACAGGCCCCAGTGCCAGAAAGTGGCAGAGGGGACCACCATTGTCTCCCTCTGACCCCGCCCCCACATACAGCATCACAAACCAGCGACCTGGGTGGCCCCGCCCTGGTAAACACCTAAGGCTCCGCTCCTCATACATAACAGGCACGAACAGACCAAATCAATATGGCTCAAGAACAACTCAGAGCCCATAAATCTAAGCAGTGAAGAAATAGCCAAACTTTCAGATGCACAGTTCAAAACACTGGTGATCAGGATGCTCACAGAACTGGTTGATTTTAGCCACAAATTAGAGGAACATATGGAAGCTAAACTAATTGCAATGAAGGGAAATACACAGGAAACCAATACTAATGGAAAGGAAACTGGGACTCAAATCAAAGGAGTGGACCAGAAGGAGGAAAAAAATGACCAAACAGAAAAGGATGAAGAAACAAGAATTCAGAAAGAGGAGAGGCTTAGGAACCTTCAGGACATCTTTAAATGTTCCAAAATCTGAATTATAGGGGTACCAGAAGGGGAAGAGGAACAGCCACGAGTGGAAACCTTATTTGAACAAATAAGAAAGGAGAACTTCCCCAATCTGGCAAAGGCAATAGACTTCCAGGAAATCCAGGAAGCTCAGAGAGTCCCAAAGAACTTGGACCCAAGAAGGAACACACCAAGGCACATCATCATTACATTAGCCAAGATTAAAATGAAGGAGAGAATCCTAGAAGCAGCAAGAGATAAGGGGACAGTCACCTACAAAGGAGTTCCTATCAGACTGTCAGCGGATTTCTCAAAAGAGACCTTCCAGGCAAGAAGGGGCTGGAAAGAAGTATTCCAAGTCATGAAATCAAAAGACCCACAACCAAGATTGATCTATCCAGCAAAGCTTTCATTTAGAATGGAAGGGCAGATAAAGTGCTTCTCAGATAAGATCAAATTCAAGAAGTTCATCATCACCAAGCCCTTATTATATGAAATGTTAAGGGGATTTACCTAAGAAAAAGAAGATAAAAAAGATGAACAGTGAAAGGACAGCAAACTCACAGTTATTAACAACCACACCTAAAACAAAAGCAAACTAAGAGGACAGCTAGATCAGGAGCAGAAACATAGAAATGAAGATCACATGGAGGGTTAGCAACAGGGGAGTGGGAGGAGGAGAAGGGGGGAGAAGGTACAGAAAATAAGTAGTATAAATGGTAGGTAGAAAATAGATAGGGGGAGGGCAAGAATAGTATGGGAAATACAGAATCTAAAGAACTTGAGACATGTGGTCATAAACTAAAGGGGGGAATGGTGGGGGAGGGAGTGTGCAGGGTGGAGGGGAATGAAGGGGGGAAATAGAACAACTGTAATGGCATAATCAATAAAATATATTTTTTTAATGAAAAAAAAAAGAATAGAAAATAGGGCACACCAAAAGAATAATTAAAAAGCAGATAATTAACAGCCATGGATATGGGAATTAAGTAGGCCTTAAAGGATGAGTATGATTTTGATTAAACAGAGAGGTAGGAAAGGCCATTACAGGAAGTTAAAATCTATTCTCTGGATTCCGTGCAGTATATTTTTATTGATTCCTTTGTATGTCTATAGGCACTTTCTCTGAATCACATGCTGTCTATTCTTCCTGTATTATTATTACTGTATTTACCAAGGTCTTATTCTTGGTCTATCCTTTTTTTAATAATAACTTAAGGGGTTTCATCTCTCAATTTTAATTTCCAAGTCCTTATACTATAGTAATGATACTAACTAAACTTTCTTACCTAAGCTCCAGTTCCACTCCGATTACAGAGGCTGAAATTCCCTACATTAATTATCATCAGAAATTCTCTACTCAGTACGAACTTATCTTTCGTTACCATTCATTCACCCTATTTATTTTCTCTGAGATATTTTCATAGGCCAACCTGATCTTTCCCTTTTCTGAAGTTCCAAAACATCATTTGTCTCTAGCACTCATTGTTTTCATTAGATGCTGGTTTCCACTATTATTTAATTGGTTCTTGGGTATATGTCTTATCCTCCCTATAAGATTGTATATTCCTAGAACACAGAAATTGCACTTTACCTTTCTTCTATATATCTCTTTATATGCAGAATGCGACATGCATATGCACAGGCATTGTACTAGAAAAAGTTGTTCAGCCCTTATAGAAAAGGATGAGGTTTAATAATACCCAATGTCTAATAATGCTGACAGTTATTTCATGGAGGGTGGTATTGACAAAACATATTCTAAAAGATTCTCTGATTCCCTCCTCCCCTATAAGTGTCTTAAGATAGGATCCCTAAATTACTGCAGAAACTTCCCAACTGGGCTCACTTAAAATCTCTTTCTCTTCTATGCTGTTGCCAGTGATCGTTCTCAAATATGAACCTGACTTGATCACCATGATTGCCCAAATGTACATACTACGAAGTAGCCATAGTCCAGTACCTAATGCCTTCTGTCTGTCCTCCTTGCCTCTGCATGTACTGTTTCCTTACTCATTAACCGCCAACTGCCTCATCTGAATCCTATTCCAAGTAGATGTGCAATGTTGTTTGTGAAGTTTCCTCTGACTTTCCATGATGAGTTAGGTGGTTTTCTACTCTGGGATCCTAAAGCACCTTGTATGTTACTTATATACAAGGTATATATAAAGCACCTTGTATATTCTACTGTATACATTAGAGTACCTTGTAACTATTGTTTACTCTTCTGCCTTCCATCTCTGGGTCCCTGGCCCTCAGAAGAATGTTTCTTATATAGGAGTGCTGAAGGAGAAAAAAGTCAGGAAAGAAAAGATCTTTGAATGTGGTTAAATAATGTGATACTATTTAAGTGGACAGGGCAGTTAATAAATAGATATGCAAGAAATGAAGAATGGAATAGGTAGAAAAGAAATGGTTAAAATTTCATTTCAAAATCTGTCAAGGAAAGGAAAAAGAATGGATAAAAGATGGAAAATATATCATAGTCAAAGGAAGTCTGCTGCTTTTTAAAACCCAGAGTAGCTGACCCAGTTAGAAGGCAAAAGATCTGAGATGCTCTAAAAAGAAAGCAAGGGAAGGAATTATATCCGACCCGAGGATAAAGAAGACGGAGAGAAAGGCTGCGATGAGACCGAAAAACCAGACAGTTGTAAAAACAGATGGTTTGAAGCTAACACAGAATGCTTCCCATTTTAGGAATAAGAATTTCATTCTTTCAGTCTCCCAAACTAGAAATTGTTAAAAAAGAATCTTTGACACAATCCTTCTTTCTCGTTGCTATTAATCCATCACCAATTCCTATCTTTTCATTTCTTCTTCCTGAATATGTTTCAGATGAGTTCTCTCATCTCACTGCCATGGCTTCCCATTAACTCTCACCATCTCTCAACTGAGTTATTGGAAAGCTCCTAAGAAGTTTCTAATCCAGGGTCCCCATTTACAAATTTACAAGGAAACTGATCCCCTTCTCATTATCTCTGCAAAGCTTTCTCACCTCATGCCCTTCCTATTTTTGTAGTAAAGTTTTATTGGAATATAGCCCTTTCCATTTTGACTACATATTGTCTATGGTTGCTTTCATGCTACAACAGCATAAATGAAGTTGCAACAGAGACCATCTGACCCACAAAGCCAAAAATGTTTACTATATGGCTCTTTACAGGAAAAGTTTGCCAACCTCTGCACCCAGGATTAGTTCTAAGACCGCCACAGACACTAAAAATCCGTGGATGCTCAAGTCCTTTACATAAAAGGGTTTATTTGCATATAACCTATACACTTTATACCTCCTACATACCTGAAGAGTCAAGACTAAGGTGGGAGGAGTCTGCCACTGAAGGCCCCATCAATCACCACCACCCCGCTTGCTTTCCTACATACTTTCAATCATCTCTAGATTACTTATAACACCTAATAAAATGTAAATACGATGTAAATAGTGGTTATACTGTACTGTTAGGGAATGATGACAAAAGGAAAAGTCTGTACTTCCATTTTCAGGACAGACACAACCACAGTAGGCCAATACACATGAAAACAAAGTAACATTTTCCCCCAAATATTTCTGATCCACATTTGGTTGAATCCGTAAGTGCAAAACCCACAGATAAAAAGGGCCAACTGTACCATCATACTTATATTTTACTGTAATTATTCATTTACAATAATAATGAGTTAATATTAGAAATTTACTGAGACAGGCACTGTTCTAAGCAATTATCTCATTTATTTTTTACAACATACCCAAAGGGGCAGGTATTATTACTATTCCATTTTACAGATCAGGAAACTGAAGCCTATTACTTCAGACCCCATGTTTTTAACCACGATATTATTAGCGACTACATTTTCTTTTTTTTAATATATTTTAAAATATATTTTATTGATTATGACATTACAGTTGTTCTATTCCCACCTTCATTCCCCTCCACCCTGCACACCCCCTCCCCCACCATTCCTCCCTTTAGTTTATGACCACGTGTCTCAAGTTCTTTAGATTCTATATTTCCCATACTATTCTTGCCCTCCCCCTATCTATTTTCTACCTACCATTTATACTACTTATTTTCTGTACCTTCTCCCCCTTCTCCTTCTCCCACTCCCCTGTTGCTAACCCTCCATGTGATCTTCATTTCTATGGTTCTGGTCCTGATCTAGCTGTCCTCTTAGTTTGCTTTTGTTTTAGGTGTGGTTGTCAATAACTGTGAGTTTGCTGTCCTTTCACTGTTCATCTTTCTTATCTTCTTTTTCTTAGGTAACCCTTTAACATTTCATATAATAAGGGCTTGGTGATGATGAACTTCTTGAATTTGATCTTATCTGAGAAGCACTTTATCTGCCCTTCCATTCTAAATGAAAGCTTTGCTGGATAGAGCAATCTTGGTTGTGGGTCTTTTGATTTCATGACTTGGAATACTTCTTTCCAGCCCCTTCTTGCCTGGAAGGTCTCTTTTGAGAAATCCGCTGACAGTTTGATGGGAACTCCTTTGTAGGTGACTGTCCCCTTATCTCTTGCTGCTTCTAGGATTCTCTCCTTCATTTTAATCTTGGCTAATGTAATGATGATGTGCCTTGGTGTGTTCCTTCTTGGGTCCAACTTCTTTGGGACTCTCTGAGCTTCCTGGATTTCCTGGAAGTCTATTGCCTTTGCCAGATTGGGGAAGTTCTCCTTTCTTATTTGTTCAAATAAGGTTTCCACTCGTGGCTGTTCCTCTTCCCCTTCTGGTACCCCTATAATTCGGATTTTGGAACATTTAAAGATGTCCTGAAGGTTCCTAAGCCTCTCCTCTTTCTGAATTCTTGTTTCTTCATCCTTTTCTGTTTGGTCATTTTTTTCCTCCTTCTGGTCCACTCCTTTGATTTGAGTCCCAGTTTCCTTTCCATTAGTATTGGTTTCCTGTGTATTTCCCTTCATTGCAATTAGTTTAGCTTCCATATGTTCCTCTAATTTGTGGCTAAAATCAACCAGTTCTGTGAGCATCCTGATCACCAGTGTTTTGAACTGTGCATCTGAAAGTTTGGCTATTTCTTCACTGCTTAGATTTATGGGCTCTGAGTTGTTCTTGAGCCATGTTTTGATCTGTTCGTGCCTGTTGTGTATGAGGAGCGGAGCCTTAGGTGTTTACCAGGGCGGGGCCACCCAGGTCGCTGGTTTGTGATGCTGTATGTGGGGACGGGGTCAGAGGGGGACAATGGTGGTTCCCTCTGCCGCTTCCTGCAGCTGGGGCCTGCGTGGTCTCACTGCCTGCTCTTTCACCGGCTCCTTCACCGGTTTATCTGCATGTGAATATGTGACTGTGGTCAGCCCTCAGTGGGTCCATCACCTTGCACCCTCAGGGGGTCCACCCGCTGTTACTCCACACCACAGCTGCTGGCACACCTGGGTTGGGCATCCGGGTTGGTCTGGTGGATCCTTCCTTCCTGACCCTGCTCTGCTGCTGGTTCTGCCCTTCTTACCCATTTGGCCGAAGGGTTCGTTGTTGTCAGACTTCCGTATAGTTCAATTTTCTGTGGTTTGGCTGCATTTTTGTTGCTAAAACTTTGTTGTTTTTAAACTTGGTTGTGCAAGAAGGCACAGTGCTTCCACCTATGCCTCCATCTTGGCGGAAGTGGTACATTATCTTTCCTAATAGATTGTGAGCTTACTGAAAACAAAGATTATCCTAAATCATCTTTGTAGTTCTAAGAACACTGACTGATATAGTAAGTATTCCATAATTGTTTGCTTACTTTTCTAAAATAACCACTTCCTTTCTTCCTTCTCCCTGCTCAGTACCCTTCAAAGACTCTGTATTTTTTACTGCATCAATCTAAACTCTAAACTCCTTTGACTGGTTTTAAATTGGACCATAATCTAAGACAATTGTTCCTGGCAAAGTTCAAACAGATTCATAATGTTCAACTTCTACTTCAGAACTGGCTACTCTCCCTTAAGCTGTGTAACTCTATTCGGCATATGAAATAAACTAAGCTACCAGCACAACTCACCTGCCATCACGGGACCTGTGGAGGCTGCCGTGGTAGCTGCTCACTTTGCTGTGGACACTCCCTGCTTTGCTTCTCTGATCATCCACCATTGCCAGCTGAGTTGAAGAAGCGTGCGTGGATGTTCCTTGAGTGGAAGTTCCCCTCGATTTTCTTATAATAGGAGTGTTTGGATCCCTCAGGAGGGACTGAGCAAAATCAGGTTCTTGGAGCACCTGTCGGCTCTCATTCACTATCCTAGACAACAGAATACTAAGTTTAAGGTATGCATTAGTACTCCTATAGAGTAACAAATAATACTTTTGTGACACACATTATTCTTGAAATTTATATATTTTTAATTACATTTATTTATTTTAGAGAGAGGGGGTAAGTAGGGGAAAGAGAGAGAGAGACATCCACTGGCTGCCTCCCGCACATGCCTCAACTGGGAAAGAGGCCTGTAGCCTGGGCATGTGCCCTGACCAGGAATCAAACCAGCGACCTCGGGCTTTGTGGAATGATCCTCAATCCACTGAGCCATGCAAGCTAGGGCATTCTTGAAGTTAACTGCTCTTCACACAATGTACTTAGAACAAGTGTAAGATAACACTGTTGTCCTGGCCAGTGTGGATCATTTGGTTGGAGCATGGTCCCATAAACTGAAAGGTCACAGGTTTGATTCCTGGTCAGGCACGTGTCTAGGCTGTGAATTCAGTCCCTGGTCAGGGTGTGTACAAGAGGCAACCAACTGCTGTTTCTCTCTCACACTGATGTTTCTCTCGTCCTCCTTCTCCTACCCTTCTCCTCTCCCTAAAATAATGAGCATGTCCTCAGGTGAGTATTAAAACAAATGAACAGACAAACAAATATTTAAAAACTCCAACAAATATACAGATATATCACAGTAAATCCTACAAGGAGAAAAATGCCATAAAAGCAGGGACTTGGCCTGTTTTGTCCGTTACTGAATCCCTGGCATTTCAAAATAGTTCACGGAACAATACAGTTCACGGCACACAGTAAGCATTCAATAAAGACTTCTTAAAGGATGAATTAATGCCTAAAAATACATATTTGTAGTTGCTGAATGAATCTTTCCCTCTGAAACTATATTTAAAGGATATATACATTTTCTGATATCACTAGTAGTAGTCTTAGATATAAGAAACATATATATATTTAAAATGTGATTTTATTTCAATCTAAACTGTTTAATAGAAACTGCTAATTACTAATTTTAGAAAATACAGATTTTTGTTATTGAGGCATTGTAAGTTGTATAATACAGGTACATTAACCCACACAAGGCACGTTTTAAATACAATGTTAACAGATTTTTACAAGTTAGCCCCCAAATTCCATTTTCCATGGACCCCACATGGATTCTACTAATTTAAAATGCAGATATAGTATTCATATAAGATTTATACTGAGTAAAAAGTTTGAAGTAATTGTTACTTTGTGAATACTGAAGAATCTTATTTTATGAACTAAGGGTTCAAAAAGTTAAATATTTCTTAAATATGCTCTCAAAAGACTGCTTTGGTCTTATGTTTACCTTAATACTTTAATATGCAGTATGGACAACTATGAACTGAAGTATTTTCTTAAACATTTCATGTTATCTAAAGGTATTATTTTTTCTATTTTGGCTGTAATGGGTACTACCTCAGAATGTAATAACATGCTATCTCTTTGTATCATTTATGCTATACTAGGAAGAACAACGAATAACTGGAAATAGTAGCCTAATCTAATACCTGTATGAGTGGCCAAGGCACTTAACCTCCCCATGTCTGTTTTCTTATCAGTAACAGAGGTGGTAATGCACACCAACCCTTAATTTTTCTGTGAAAAATTAAGAAGATAAAATAAGAATACACAAAATCATTAATTTGTTTTTAATATTGAGAAAAATTATAATTTGAATTTTTAAAACTAAAGATTGGTCTTTCCTCAAATATTCTGAATTAGTAAGAGATCATAAGCCCAATTCTACTTGGCTATTTTCTCAGAATAAGTTTTCACCTTTTTTTAAAAAACTGATTTGAAAGAGAGAAAAAGGAAGAGAAAAACATCAATTTGTTGTTCCATTTTTTAATGTATTCATTGGTTGCTTCTTTTATGTGCCCTCACCAGAGATCAAACCTGCAACCATGGTGTATCAGGATGATGCTCTAACCAAATGAGCTAACCATTAGGGCCAAGTTTTTAGCTTTTAATTTAATTTGTAATTTTTTAAAAGTTTATTTATTTTTAGAGAGAGGGGAAGGGAGGGTGAAAGAGAAGGAAACACCAAGGTGAGAGAGAAACATAATTCAGTTGCCCCTCATATGCACACCAGTCCTGGGGACTGAACCCGCAACCCGGGCATGTGCCCTGACTGGGTATCGAACCAGAGAACTTCCACTTTACAGGATGATGCCCAACCAATTGAGCCACACCAATGAGTGCCCATGTTTTTAGCTTTTAATTAAGACATTCTACTGTGTCGATCTTAACTGATGGCAACAGCAGTTACAATCTTGAAATACTTCCTCCTAATCCAAATTATTTTAATATAAGCAACAAAATATCCATGTGAATGTGAAGTTTGGGAACACTGTGATAATTTACTTCAACTTACTCTTTTTTCCTACGACCATGAAAAAAACTGGCCCACTCAAAGCATGTCTTTTTGCTTCCAACCCAGAAAATGGAGGGAATACCAACAATGAGAGCCATCAGGTATTTCATCAGAAAGAGAATCAGGTCTGGACGACTCATCTGAGTGACCTACAGAAAGGGAAAGAAAAATACCTTAAATATATAAAAAGAACTATCTATTAAAGGCCATTATGAAATTTTTTAAATAAAAGAGTAAAATAATTCTACAAATTTACTGTTTTCATTATATAGTTCTATAGTTAATTTTCTGGTTATATGAAAAGATAAACTCCTGAAAATTTGACCATAAAGTTGTAATCTATACTCTGAGTCCTGTATTTTTCTTATTAGCTCACATTGGCTATCTTCTAAAGAAAAACATTATTAATGTCTAAATAAACCAAGAAAAGAAATAGAGGCTCAAGTAATATCTACATTGGCCAATTTTGCCAGTCTTATCATTGTCATCACAATATAAAAAATTGTTATCTTTAATATGCTCTGCAATCTCCCTACTTCATCTTTACTTAGCTGGTTCTTTTCAAACTTCCTGTTTCACCTATGAGTTATTGTAAGTGCATTTTCTAATTTCTAGTCAGATGAGTTTTTCAAAAATTTCTTTTTATTGCTGGTTTCAAGTTTAATTGTGGTCAGAGAATCTGGTCTACAGTTTCTGGTTGCCTCAACTTTTGGAGATTTCTTTTGTGATTTAGGACCCAATGTTTCTAAGTATTCCTTGTATGCTCAAACTTTACACATATTCTCTATTTGTTGAGTACAAAATTTTCTATATGTGTTAGATCAACTTCATTAGTTGTGTTGTTCAAATCTTTCCTATACTCTTAACTAATTTTCTGCTTATCTATCCATTTTAAGAGGTGTGCTAACATCTCTCACATAACTGTGAAGTCCTTAGTTTTCTTTCTAATCCCATCAGTTTTTATTTTCAAGCCTATGTGAGGTATTATATAATTTCAAAAATACTCTAACTGCTTGTTTTACTTTATTCATACTTAAATTGTATTTTATCTGACATTAATATATTGTCACATCACCTTTTCTTCCATGTTCGAACAGCTCTAACTGTCTTGAGCATCTGTCCTAATTCTGTCCTCTGGGGCCATAAAGAACATAGCTACCTTTCTGGAAGTCCTAGTTAAGCCAGTAAGACACCCTGCCAGAAGGAAAACTTAAAAACACAGTGTGCATACTGGGAACAAAGAGACAATAAGACTATCCAGAAAAATCCAAGAGAATAAAAACAAAAACAAAAACAAAAAAACCCAGAAACATAGGACTCAGTAACTAAGTTGGACAAGATTAATACTAAAAAAATCAAAATTTTCTTATATATTATCAATGACCAAGTAAAAAAATAATGAAAACAATTTAATTTATAATCTCAACAAAAACTGTAAGACATCTAGAAATAAGCCTAATAAGAAATAAAAAAGATGATAAAAGCCTATTGAAGATCATGGAAAAACTGAGGTAAATGAAGAAATATTCCATATTTCTACATGTAAAGACTTAATGTTTTAAAGATGTCAAACTAAGCCCCGGCTGGTGTAGCTCAGTGGATTGAGCACGGGCCTGCGAACCAAAAGATCGCAGTTCAATTCCCCGTCAGGGCACATGCCTGGGTTGAAGGCCAGTTCCCAGCAGGGACCAGTTCCCAGCAGGGGATGCACCAGAAGCAACCATACATTGATGTTTCTCTCCTTCTCTCCTTCCCTTCCCTTCTAAAGATAAACAAATAAAAAAATTATTTAAAAAAAAAAGATGTCAAACTATACTAAAAAAAATCTTATAAACTTGATATAATCTGAAAAGAAAAATAGAATTTTTCACAAAGTGTGATAAGTATATAAGTATTTGAAATAAATTAGGAAAATATAGATTGTTTAATAAATGTTGGGATGGCAAGCAATCCACCAGAAAATAATTTATACACTACCTCACATAATAAAAAAATAAATTCTGGGAAGTTAAATATATATTACAAAATTATGATAACCATAAAAAATGTATTTTATACTGGGGATATAAAAGGTCTTTTCAAAAAGATTAATGTGAAACAAAGAAGCTATAAAAAGAAAAAACTTAAAACTTCTGCAGAACAAGAAACCATAAATCAAGTTAATAGACTATTGATTAATGAGGAATATTATTGGTAATTGTATTATCTATCAATAAAGCAAACCTGAGGAAAAGAAATTTAAGATATTAATAAAATGAAATTAATTACAGGCAAAAATAACTAATTAATAAACCCCAAAGTTGGTCATTTGAAAAAAAAAGGTAACCATTCTCTAGTCTGATCGAAACAACACAGGGAAGAAAAGAGCCCATGTGCGCGCACACACACACACACACACACACACACACAGAGAAATGATAAGCAAACGGATACAAAGACCCCAAAAGCAAACATAAAACTGAACCTGACTCAACAGACTCAATAACACAATAAAATCTGTAGATGTCTCATTTCTGAATTGTTATATAAACAGAATCCAACAGCAAATTCAAAGAATATGTCATAACCAAATATAGAAAAGCAAGGATGGTTCAATGTTAGGAAACTGATTTATAAATTTAATACATATACACACACCACATTTTGCCGTGTATAATGTGCACCCATGTTTTCTGGCCCAAACGTTCAGAAAAAAAATCTATCATTTTAATTAATTAATTCATTTCTTTATTTATATTTGAATACTTTTTTTTGTATTATAGTAGAATTTTAGCATTTCTTTTTGAACATATTACAGTACAAGAAATTTTATTTAACAAATAATTACAAAATACAATAAAAGATACAAGGTATTTCAGGTACTACCCATGTATAATGCACATCCTTATTTTTCCTTCAAAAATTTGGGCAAAAATGTGCATTATACATGGCAAAATATGGTAATCATTTCCATGTATGCCAATAAAGGGTACTTGATAAAACTGTCCATTCTTGCTTTTTAAAAATTATAATAAGTATCTATTTATTAAAAATTGTAATAAAATTAAAATAGATGATAAAAAGCCCTTTGAGTGAGAAAATAAAGTTATGTCATTCAAAAAGCAATACCATGTTTAATGGGAACACCAGAAGCTACTATTCTCCTTAAAATCAAGAATATAAGAGGATATACTACTATTAACCTTGTATCAACAGTTCTGACTCCAATTAGACCAAAAAGGTAAGAAAACTATAAAGAAGAGAAAATAAGCATTAATAAATAATTTTAAGAAAATAAAGTAAGAACTATTATAAATCAAAAGCAAGGTGGCTAAGTGCAAAATAAAACTTTCAGATATACAAGTAACAGTTACTAGGTAAAAGAAAGTCCTTCATTTGCCATTGTTAGGGGCTGAACTGTGCCCCACTAAAATTCCTATGTTGAAGTCCTAACTCCCAGTACCACAAAATGTAACTTATTTGGAGATGGAGCTTTTCTGAGAGGTAATTAATGTTAAATGAAATAATATAGGTGGGCCTGAAACCAATCTGCCTGAGCTCCGTATAAGAAGGGTAAATATGAACACACAGACATCAGAGATGGACGCATAGTAAAAACTGTGCGAGGAAACAAGAAGGGGGGGGTGGCCACCCACAAGCCAAGGAGGGAGGCCTCAGAAGAAGTCAACCATGTTGGCACCTCGACCTTGGACTTCCAATCTCCATAAGTGTTGTTTAAGCCACCCAGTCTACAGTATTGTCTTGGCAGCACTAGTAAACAAATACTTCATGGTGATAAAAAGGATAAAACACCTAGGAATAAACTTTATAAGAAAAATAAGTGAACGGCTTTAAAGTGCTTATAAAACATGTTCTTGGCTAGAAATATCACTGTCATAAAATGCAAATTCTCCTTGATTTAGTCATTAAATTTAGCACAATTCCAATAAAAATACCAACAAAGTTATTTAGGAATTAAGTAAGATAATTCTAAAGTTCATATAGAAAAACAAAAAACAAGCAAAACTAAACAGTCAAATGCTAAAAGAGAATAAAAATGTATCATTAGGGGCCTTCCACCAAGATGGAGGTGTAGGTGGAAACACTTTGCTTCCTTGAACAACTAAATCTAAAAACAACAAAGTTTTAACAACAATAAATGCAACCAAACCACAGAAAATCGAAAAATACGGAGTCTGAAAACAACAACCCTCTCAGCTAAACCAGTGAGAGGGGTGAAGCCAGCAGTGGAGTGGGTCGGGCAAAAACGATCCCTGACCCAGGTGGGCGGCGCGCAAGCAGCCGAGGGCTCGGATCCCAGGTGCAGGGTAGCTACGGGAAGGCACAGCATGGCTGGCTGTCTAAGGTCTCGCATTTGTGTGCAGATAAACCAGTGAAGAGACGTGCATTGAGACAGACCATGCAGGCCCTGGCACAGGCCCTGGCACAGGGCAGCGGGCTCGCACATTTATGCTCACATAAACAGGAGGGGGCAAGCGGTGAGGCTGACCGGGTGAGCAGAGAGGGCTGCCATTGCTCCCTCTCTGACCCCTTGCCCACATACAGCATCACAAACCAGCGACCTGGGTGGCCCCGCCCTGGTAAACACCTAAGGCTCCGCTCCTCATACATAACAGGCACAAACAGATCAAAACATGGCTCAAGAACAATTCAGAGCCCCAGAGCCCATAAATCTAAGCAGTGAAGAAATAGCCAAACTTTCAGATGCATAGTTCAAAACACTGGTGATCAGGATGCTCACAGAACTGGTTGATTTTAGCCACAAATTAGAGGAACATATGAAGGCTAAACTAATTGAAATGAATGGAAATGCACAGGAAACCAATAGTAATGGAAAGAAAACTGGGACTCAAATCAAGGGAGCAGACCAGAAGGAAGGAAAAAATGACCAAACAGAAAAATATGAAGAAACAAGAATTCAAAAAAATGAGGAGAGGCTAAGGAACCTCCAGGACATCTTTAAACGCTCCAACATCAGAATTATAGGGGTACCAGAAGGGGAAGAGGAACAGTCACGAGTGGAAACCTTATTTGAACAAATAATAAAGGAGAATTTCCCCAATCTGGCAAAGGAAATAGACTTCCAGGAAATCCAGAAAGCTCAGAGAGTCCCAAAGAAGTTGGACCCAAGAAGGAACACACCAAGGCA